GACACGGGCGACCCCCGCCTGGTGTGCTGCCTCTCCCCCGCCCCCTCCTCCACCCCGCCAACCGTCGCTGTTTCTAAGAGGACTCGGGGGAAAGCAGAGCCCTCACCCCACGGCGGGGCTGGGGACCCAGTCGCCTCACAGAGTAATTTCACGCTAGGTGGAACCTTTTTTCGGCTGGAGGAGGCAAAGACTTCACCTCTTAGCCTCTGCCCTGGGTTGCTTTGCCCGAAGAAGGAGGTTCTGTGTGTCCGAGGAGACCCCCGGCTGCAGCTCCTGCGGCCCCGCTGCTGGCTCTCCGTCTTTGCGTCAGGCGCGTGAGCTGGAAGCCAATTCCACCATCTTGGTTTGCTTCGTATCTGTCACCCTGCTTGGCATGTGGCAGAAACAGAATAGGAGTGGAGGGGAAGAGGGGGCACGGGCGAGGGCCCAGCCCTCCGGCTCAGGAGGCCTGGCGGGCGTCTGTGCCTGTCAGCGGGCACTTTTTGTGTTCGGGGTTTCAGGAAACCCTGCGGTCATTTCCTCCTTACTCTCTCTTTCATGGCCCTGTGTTAGCTTAGAACAGCATACGAAATCTAGAGATTCACAGGAAACCTTAAGAAATGAACCAGGGCCGGGCGCGGTGGCTCAAGTCTGTAATCCCAGCACTTTGGGAGGCCGAGTCCAGGGGTTTGAGACCAGCCTGGGCAACTGGGTGAGACCTCGTCTCTACCATAAGTTAAAAAACCAGCTCAGCATGGTGGTGCATGCCTGTAGTTCCGTCTACTTGGAGACCTGAGGCAGAAGGATCGCCTGAGCCCAGTGGGTCGAGGCTGCAGTGGCCGTGAGCGTACCACTGCACTCCAGTCTTGGCGACAGAGTGAGACTCCAACTCAGAAAGAAAAGAAATGAGCGAAGATATAATAGCACAGGAGTTTAATAACAACAATAATAACAAAGTTATAACAAATGATAGGAAAGTGTATCTGGATCTTGGAGGAGACAATGGATCGACACATTTCTGGCCGCTTGAGGAAGAGGCCTCCTGGCCCTCCCTCCGTCTTATTCCTTCACCAAGGGGCCCTCGTCCACAGTGACTGCAGCAGGGGAAGAAATGAAGGACCCACCAGGACGGCTCCTCGCTCTACGGGGCGATGCTGATCGCAGCTACTGAGTAGATTCAAATCTATTCGCAAACTAAGAGGGGGATCATCAAATACGGCTCAGGGGCAGAAGCTCGCTAGCCCATGTTCGCCAGGAATCATCCCGTGAATCTGTAGAATTTAAAGAGACGAAAGAAGGTCCTGCCATGATGAGTCTCATCCTGGGCACCCCAGTCCTGGCTCCTTCCCCCAGGCTGGCTGTGCAGAGGGCTCTGCCCCCCACGTTCTGAGGGCCAGGGCACTCCCACCCCCTGCCCAGCGCCAAGCCCGAGGGGCCTGTGCCCAGTGTCTCAGGGGCTGAGCCTGCGGGTGAGTAGGGTCCCCATCACGCATCTGCCTGAGATAGGAGAGCAGGCTGGGCAGTCTAGGGCGGTGTGGATGCCCAGTCAGTGTTGCCCAGGCGTCAAAGCTTCATCTCAACTCAATCTCATCCTTGTAGGTCCATCGCTCATTTAAATAATCAGCACGACAAAAGCCCAACAGCCCCGCGTCTTTCTCTTTAGGAACCATGCTGCCAAAAGGCACTTGTGAGAAGTTTGTCTCTCTAGAGAGGGAGGGGCCTGATTTGGAAATTCTCCCTTGAAAACCCAAATTTCTCTCTCTCTCTCTCTCTCTGTCTCTCTCTCTCTCTCTCTCTCTCTCTCTCTCTCTCACCTTCTGATGGCTGAACCAAGCTGACACACTTGGTAGTCCCAGTCTGGAGGGCCTGGCTACTGAGTTTGTCCTTCCCAGTCACGTCCTGCAGCCCCGGCAGGCCAGCGGCTTGCCCACCTCCCCCAGCCCCCGACACTCCGCTGCAGCCTGTCGGCAGCCTGGCACCCACGGACAGTGCGTGAGGGCCACGCCCCAGACCTTCCTCCCCCGGCTGCCACCCCCACGCTCTGTCTGGGTGTCTCCCTCATCCACACCTCCTTCCCTCTCTTCCCCGGTTCCTTCCCTCCCTTGGCGCCTTTTTTCTCTTTCCCCCTTCTGCCCAGGAGGAGAAAAATGTGAACAGTTGGGTGTGGAGACTATATTTATTGGGACGCATTCGTTGCGAAAGAAAAATCTCCTTCACTCTTCCATTCTGCTTTTCTTTCTTCTTGCCTTTCTTCCTTCCATCCTCTCATGTCCCAGAGTAAACATGCCTTGCCTTCCCGGAAGACCTTTTGGCCAGCGGTACCTGGGTTGACGTCCTGTTTTCTTACAGACACTTACGTCCTGTTTTCTTACAGACACTTCTTTCCCTTCCCTCCGCTTCTTTCATTCCTCCCTCCCTCCTTCTCTCTCTCTCTCTCTCTTCTTTCTCCTCCCCATCTCCCTCCCTCCTGCCCTCCCTTCCTTCTTCTTTCTCTCCTGTCAGGGGTCTTACTCCATTGCCCAAGCTGTAGGGCAGTGGCCCCATCACAACTCACTGCAGCCTTGACCTCCTGGGTTCAGAGCGAACCTTCCACCTCAGCCTCTCACAGACTGATATCTGTGGTCATGAACAACGAGATATTCATTCTGAAAACCTGCTTTTATATTTTAAGACACCATGAATTGGCCAGGCTCAGTGGCTCAGCCCGTAATCCCAGCGCTGTGGGAGACCGAGGCGAGTGTCTTGCCTGAGCCTGTGGGTTCAAGACCCGCCCGGGCAACTTGGTGAGACATCGTCTCTACAAGAAGTCAAAAATTAGCCGGGCATGGTAGCACTCGCCTGTAGTTCCAGCTATTTGGGAGGCTGAGACAGAAGGATCGCCGGGGCCCAGCAGGTCGAGGCTGCGGTGGCAGGGAGTGTGCCACTGCCCTCCAGTCTGGGCAACGGAGTGAGACTCCCAACTCAAACCAAAAAAACCAAACAAACCATGAATTCTCACATTTTTTTCCTCTCACCCCAACCCTCTTCCATTAAACTCTCGGCTCCCTTCACTGCCCCACCCACTTCCTCAGCCTCACGGACTGCTTCTGCCCCCGAGGAGTGGCGTGACTCAAGAGCTGCCACTTGGTCTTCCAGCCCAAAGCCCCCTCTAGCCACAGCGCCTGTCTCTGACAGAACCCTTGACCACCCTGTTTCCTTAAGACTCTGTCCTCGGCACACTGGTGTGTTCCAAGGCTACAAGTTGTTACTGATCTCAACCTAAACCCATGGAGTAACGAGTTCCATAGGCTTAGGTTCATAGCCTGCTTCCTCTTCAGACGCTCATTTTGTTTCTTCAGCTTCCTATCCTGAGCAGGTTAGGTAAACCGATCTGCCTCTTTTTTTCACATGCAAGATTTTGGAAACATGTCCCTCTCCCAGCTGTTGCCTTTCCAAGGCAAAAAGCCCTAACAGCTTCAACTTGTCCTACGGCAAAATCTTCCACCTCTGATCGTGTTGGAAGCTATGGATCCTTCCTGGCTGGGTCACAGCATCAGCACCGCATCTGTTACCCAGAGGAAGATGTTACCTAGGGTTTCATGCCACCGACCCTGCAAACGCTCACTCACCACCTTCAGACGGGACGTCGGGCGTACTTTCGGCGGTGCATCTCGTCCACTCGTTCCAGGTACCAAGTACCTGGGAAAAGGCTTTTTGCGTCACCCGGTGGGGAGAAGTTCACTGTGAAATGAGGAGAACAGGCCATTCTCACAAAGAGCGTATGAGTTTTGGGAAGGAAAACAGTCACGAGGATGTCCACAGCTTCCCAGTGAAGCTATCTTGGCTGTGCTGCAAGGGACTGTGAGGCCACCAAGTGGAACACTGGACCAGCAGAAAAACCAAAAAAGCAGCCATCTTGGGTCTGGCAATTAAGGCTTGGCTACTGAACATTTCATTCTAAGCGCATGACATTTTTCTGTAGTAAACATGCCTTTCCTTCACTGAAGTCTTCATCACGTCTTTTTGCCAGTAGTACCTAGGTTGAGATGTACCTTGGAGCTTCCAGTTTCTTTATAGACACTTCCTTTTTAGCACTAAGTTCTCTGGTTTGGATCCACTGAGAATATATCGTTGACGGTGGTTTTAAAACCACCATCTGATCTCTCCAGTACTACCTTTGGCTTTTGTTTCCTTTTCATTTGTTGCTTTTGGGGGCAATATTTTGTTTTTCTGTTTGGTGGAGAAAGGAGGCAATAGGGAAGAGACTACTTTTTGATCACTTACTCACCTGCTGTAACTCCTTCAGTCTATCTGGAAATCCTGCAAAGTTGGTATAATTTTAGAAACAAGACTAAGCTTAACAATTTTCCCAAAGACACAGAGCTGGTAAGAGATGCAAGTCAGGGCTAGATGTGACTGACTCTGAGGTCCAGACTTTTTCAACTGTTGTGCAGACAGCATTTTCAAATGTTATTCTTCTGGCTTCCGTGCAACTACATTGTTGGTATCATGTTCTGGGTGATTTGCTATGACCTATGCTGGGAAGCTACAGGCTGTGCTCCTACCTCTCCCCTTCTGCTTCCCCACTCAGTTCTTGTCCCTTTGGTGATCAGATATTCTAACAAATCTTCTCCCCACTATATCTCATAAAAGTCTTGATCCTGGACCACTATATTCTAGATTTATGATGAATCCCTGCCCATCAGCTACCGGGATAAGTTACTTTCTCTTTCTCTCTTCCTGCACTTTTACTTACCCTTGTGATAGAATTGCTCTCTTTGGTTCATTATTTCTGTGAACTCTTCAGGAGACATACGCTTTCGGGAGGCTAGGCGTTTTGGCAGGTCAGCTGTGCTAGACACTAGCTTGTCCAGGGGGGAGCCTGAGGAGCAAAAGAGAGATTGTTATACCTTCTTTGTTGGCATGATCACTTCTGTCAGTCAACAGAGAGCCAGATTCTGTGAGAGCACACACCCAGGGGAACATGCTCTGTGTGTAGCTTAGAATACTGGGAAATAATAAGCAAACATAAATGTGAGCAAGACGTATGAGAAGTAAAAGTGTTATAAGACGAAGGGCTATAAGTTTTGGGTCTAAATACTGCGATGAGTTTGTGTTGTCTTGAGCAGACTCTAGTGAATACACTAAGTTCTGTCTCCCTGAATTCCATATTCAGAAATAAACCTCTTTCTTTTCAGTGTTTTGCCTTCCATAGTTGCTGCTGGTGAGAGAAAGCAGCCGATTGTTCCTTGGACTATGTCAAAGGTATATCCCAGATAGTACTAGATGCATACCCTCGATCACATCAATCACAGGATAATCAACAAATGCTTACTGGATAGCTCACATCCATCAGCTGCTCTTTAATCAGTTGCAGCCAAACCACCATTACCTCTTGCCTGAATTATTTGTCGGAACATCTAACTGGTTTCCCCATATTCACCTCTGTTCATCTTCAATCTGATCTCGAAGTAGTAGCCAAGGGATTGCTTTAAATACGTAATTGGACAAACTTACTCTATTCCTTAAACCCCTTTATTGGTTTTCTTTGCTCTTAATCACAGCAAAATTCTGTCGAGATGCAGCCTTGGCAGTGGTGAGGCAGAAAGCGGTGAATTTTACCCGATGAATCTTATTAGGGATGTCTGCTAGAAAGACGAGACTCACCTGGAGAAGCATCCCGGGACACTCGAAATGAAAAAAGGCTTGCTGCTAAGCCAGAGCCATAAGAGAAGGCCCCAATCCGGGAGCCAGCCAATTCTTGGGCTGAGTGGCTGTAGGAAAAAAAATCAAAGCCCCAAACATATCAGCATTATAGTCTGCATTTCAAATAAAGCACCAACCCATCAGCCCAGTCTCTTCCCCGTTCATCTCATACAACTAGAAATAGGTTTCATGAAGGGCCTTTCCACAAAGAGGGACTTCTGGTAGACCCCGGGAGCAGGCCCAGGAGTGGGAAAGCCTGCTAAAAGGACAGCAGCTAAAATCCAAGATCTATACGGCACAGCAAAGACAACAGAATTTCGGATGTATATGGAAATTCTCCCCACTCATGAAGACAAGATGAATTAGGTGAGCTCTGAAACTGCCTCCAAATGGAGGTCAGGACCACTGGACTCACCCTCCAGGTTCCCAAGTCAACTGGCAACTTTATGTGTGGGTTAATCAATCATAACTTTTGATCATCCCCCATCAGTAATAATTTGATCAAGTTTAATCCTACGTAAGTAAAACCAGAAAATGAATAGAAATACCAACTAAAATTTGAGCACCTGCAGAGAACTGCTACTTTGTTTTAGATACTTAATGCTCATAAAACAGTAGAACATAGGTATTTTTATTTGTTTATTTGTTTATTTATTCTGTGTATGTGTGTGTCTGTGCTTATATGTGCACTGTAACTTCTTTTATTTAATTTATTTTTTTTTTTTTTTTTTGAGTTGGAGTCTCACTCGGTCGCCCAGACTGGAGTGCAGTGGCCGCTCCCAGCCACTGCAGCCTCGCCTGCTGGGCTCCGGCGATCCTTCCGCCTCAGCCTTCCGAGTAGCCAGAATTACAGGCAAGCGCTACCACACCCGGCTGATTTTAATATTTTATTTTAAAGATGCAGGGTACAATTCAGAATTAGGTATACAAGTGGACAACGAACAGGTAAAGTCTGGACCTCCCCTTGGTCCCCACTTTGCCTGGTTTGAAATCAGGTAAGGAATTTTTATTATACATATTGTACAACAGTTAGAGAAAGTGAGGCACACAGAAGTTAAGTGTTTTTCCAAGGTCAAAGCTAAAAAGTGGTAAAGAGATTTGAACCCAGGTTGTGAGCTCTAAAGCTAGATTCTCTTAGCCACTAGAGATGTGAAATAAAAGAGAAAAACACACATACAAGTCCTATGTTTTCTAGTTGCACCCAGAGAGATCTTGCACATCCTCTAATAGCCACATACTTCACTTTGGAGACCGCTGTGTAACACGGATTGCAAATCTACCTATGCCTGCACTATCAAGACAAGTCTCTTTTGTCTTCCTTCCTTCTTTCCTCCCTTCCTTCTCTCTCTGCTCCCTTCTTTTAAAATTTTGCCTGTAATCTCAGCACTTTGGGAGGCTGAGGCCGGAGGGTTGCTTGAGTCCAGGAGTTTGAGACTAGCCTGGGCAACATAATGAGACCTCGTCGCTACAAAAAAATCAAAAAAGTTAGCCAGGCATTGTGGCACGTGCCTGTAGTCCCAGCTGCTGAGGAAGCTGAGGTGGAAGGACCACTTGGGCCCAAGAGGCCGAGGCGGTGATGAGCCATGATTGTGCCACTGCAGTCTAGCCTGGGCGACAGAGTGAGATCTCAACTCAAAAAACAAAATATAATACGACTCTGAACCAGAAGAGGCACCAAACTTGGTGACCCCTTGCTTGACTATGGAGGGGACTGCCAGGAGGTGGGATCAGAAACAGTACTCACTGGGACAGAAGTGAGGCCAGGCACCCGTACAGAGATGAGGTGTACGTATTCCCATTGTGTGAGGGAAGGTAAAGGGAAGCCTTGGTTTTCTTGTTGAACATGTCCAGAGAGGCTTTCCGAAGCGCTTTATCCAGGTCCTTGTTGTTGTAGGTGTCTTCTAGCTTCAACCCTCTGGAAAGCAACCAGAGATGACCAGGTGAGAAGCCACGGGAAAGGAGAGCGCAAGGGGAAGAGTAGAAGCTTCAGAAGAGAGACTTTGGGGCACACGGTTTTATGGCAATATCTGGAAATACAGCAGGGCACAAAGAAAAACATGCCACTAATAGTCCTGTTGTTCAAAGGTAGCACTGAGAGCGCTACCAGAAAATTAGAAGGAAAATCAAACTATGTATTTTGTTTGGCATGATTTCCTAACTTTGTGTGTGTGTGTGTATGAGTGTGTGTGTGTATTTCCCCATGAAATTAAATCTTCCATAACATTATTATTATCATTATTTTTGAGTTGGAGTCTCACTCTGTCGCCTGGGGTAGAGTGCAGTGGCATTCTCATGGCCGCCGCAGCCTCAACCTGCTGGGCTCAGGTGATCCTTCCACCTCAGCCTTCCAAGTAGCTGGAACTACAGGCATGTGCCACCATGCCTGGCTAATTTTTCTTTTTCTTTTTCTTTTTGAGTCAGAGTCTCACTGTGTTTCCCAGGCTGGAGTACAGTGGCATGCTCATGGCCGCCACAGCCTCAACCTGCTGGGCTCAGACGATCCCTCTGCCTCAGCTTTCTAAGTAGCTGGAACTACAGGCATGCACCACCACATCTGGCTAATTTTTTGATTTATTGTAGAGACAAGGTCTCACCAAGTTGCCCAGGCTGGTCTCGAACCCATGGGCTCAGGCAATCCTCTCGTTTTGGCCTCCCAAAGTGCTGGGATTACAGGTTTGAGTCACTGTGCCCAGCTAATGTTATTTTTAAAGGCTACAGAATGATCCATTGCAGAATGTAGTCTCTTTTAACCAGTTTCCCTATTTCTGTTTCTTGCTAGTTAATAGTTATACATTATTTTAAATGTGGAATTACTGAGCCCAAAGGTGTGCACATATTTGAGACTTTTGCTTCCTGTTCTAGGACTCCTTAAAACACTTATACCAATTTATACACCTACTATTGCCCGTTTTCCCACGGGCTTGTCAATTCTGGGTATTCAAACATTAAAAAGACTATGAAAAGAAAGTGGTAACTTGAGTAAATTTGTTATTAATGAACATGCACATTTTAAAATATGGTTATATATATATTTGAGGAAAGTTTCTGTCTTTTCATTTGCTCACTTTTCTATTAGGGCATTTATTTTATTATTGATAAGATCTTTAATATGCTAAGGATATTAAACCATTAGCTTTGGAATATGCTACACTTCTGGTTCTGATAGGACAGGTCTTATAAGCAGTGCTTGTGCTAATTTTGATGTTTTAGTTAGTGGCAGAGTTAGTAGTAGCAGATGTTGGTAGAATAGTCCAAACCTTGAAATAAACAGATACCAAGAAGAAAGGGAAAGATTCCCTTCCCAGTGAGAATTCTCTGTATTGAATACTTCTTTCCTAAGTATCTTACAGTAGCACGTTAATAAACAACATTCTCCCATATGGCAGCTAAGGGGATGAGCCGGACGATTCCCATTTTTTAGGTGGCGGAAACTGAAGCAACAAGAAAGACAGTAAGACGACGACAAGTGAGAATGAGACCTGACACTCTCCAAGCTGCCACCCTGTGATGTGATCATTTGCTTCTATGTGTTTGTGTCGGTAGAGACTGTGAGATCTTGCAGAGCAGGGCTCGTGGAGTCGCAATTTGCGCTCCCAGGAGCTGAGTGTGGTGCCTGGCACACAGCTGATGCTGAGAAAATGTTTACCGACTGAGTGACTTTGCCACATTCCCTTTACCTTTCTTCTTACGCTCTGTTGCGTCTTATTGTCACGCATTCAGAGGCGCCAGCAAACTCTCCGTGCTCCCCTGAGATGACACACGGAGGGCCCTGTGCAGACAATAACCCAGGACCCCATGCGAGAACAGAACATGGGATCATCCCGCCCTGCTGGAGGCCTGCCATTTGTTCCCCTCCGGAGTGCCGGCCACCCAGACGCCAGGCGAGGGGAAGCGCCCCTCTCGCTCACCTCTCTGGAGCCTCTTGGCGCCCAAGAAGAGGACTCACCGGAAGGCTTCCAGGCCCTCATATAAGCTGGTCTGCGTGGTGCTGCTGCTTGACAGGAAGTCGTTGTACATCAGGCGAGCCAGGGATCTCTGGACCATCTTACAAAAGGGCGCATGAAAGACCATAAACTGCAAATCGTCCAGTGTGAAGGGGCGATCGATGCCAGCTGAAAGAGGAAGCGTGGAGGCAAGGATGTGGCTTTATGGCCTGCTCTCCGACTTCTAACCATGCCAAGGTTCTCCGGCCCCCCAGAGGACTGCTTCTCACTTCCAGCAAACACAGATAAGGTTTATTTATGCGTGTTCCATGCATTTACTAAGCATCCTCTGTGTATACGGAAAGAAGAGAAAGAAACGAACGTCTTTGTATCTACTATTGCCCATCTCTGTGGCAGAACCTTGCCCTAAATCAATCTTGGGTTCTATCATTTTCCCTATTTTTTCAGAGGAGGAAACAGTGTCTTCAAAAAATTAAGGTAAGGCATGTGGCTAAGGTCACCCCACTTAAAAAGCCTGGCTTCTTTGGATTTAGGTTTAGATGTGTCTGGCTCTACACTATAGACCGTTTCTCTTGCTATGAAGAGGAGGACAGTGCAAGCTACTTTTTGTTTTGAGTTGGAGTCTCTCTCTGTCGCCCAGGCTGGAGGGCAGTGGCATGCTCACGGCCACTGCAGCCTCGACCTGTTGGCTTCAGGTGATCCTTCCACCTCAGCCTTCCAAGTAGCTGGCATGCGCCACCACGCCTGGCTAATTTTTTGATTTATTGTAGAGAGGAGGTCTTGCCAAGTTGCCCAGGCTGGTCTTGAGCCCATGGGATCAGGCAATCCTCTCACCTCAGCCTCCCAAAGTGCTGATATTATAGGTGTGAGCCCCCACGCCCAGCTAGTGCAACCTTTAACATTGTAATCCAAAGTGGCAGCAATCAAATTCCATAGGAGCATAAGGAGTCAAATCTAAATGCCGGGAGAATTCAGAGGAAGCAAGGGCAATTAGCCAATAGCAATTTTACAGTGAACGGACAGAGGCAGAGAGCCATGAGATGACCTGTTATCCACGGAGGTCACATCTGGCAGGTGACACCCCCCCCAGTAGTAGAAAGGAACAAGAAGTGGCCCTCATGCCACCTCCGAAGCATCCATGCTCTGACGCTTCAGCACGTGCCTTTTCCACACTGAAAACTATCCTTTTGGGCAAGGCTAAGCAGATAAGAACCTCCTGTATTTTAAATTTTTTTTTTTTTTGAGTAGGAGTCTCACTCTGTCACCCAGGCTGGAGGGCAGTGACATGCTCCCGGCCACCGCAGCCTCGACCTGCTGGGCTCTGGTGGTCCTTCTGCCTCAGCCTTCCAAGTAGCTGGAACTACAGGTGCGCGCTACCACGGCTAATTTTTTTGATTTATTGTGGAGATGAGGTCTCGCCAAGTTGCTCAGGTGGGTCTTGAACCCATGGGCTAGGCAACCCTCTCACTCGACCTCCTAAAGTGCTGGGATTACAGGCTCGTGCCACCACATGCGGTCGAACCTCCTGTATTTTAAAACCAAGATTTATTTGCTTTTTTTCTGATTATTAATGCAGTACATATATTTTAGTGAGGAAATTCCGAAACTACAGGTGAAAATAAAATCGACCTGTAATAACACCATGCAGAGAAAAATCACGGATAATACTTTAGCATGCAGAAAATACATGCAAGATTTCTCAACATCGATTAGACTCTGAAAAGTGGCAAACTATAAACCAAGAGGCAAATCATGCCTGACTTGAACAGAAACAAATGCCAACCAACCGCTGTAAAATATGTTCACCCTGTCTCACAATATATCTCCCCAGGTGGCTGACACTCACTGGATTCATACTGGTGGCTTTGCCCTGGGTTGTTTTCTTTCTTTTATTTAGCTAAACTTAGAGACGATTTTATACTTGAATCCGAATGACATCCAAATGAAGATTTTAGCATAGACCCAGGGAAGGGGACAGAAAACAACTCTTTTGACATCGTTTTCGGGGAAGGAGAGAAGAGAGCTTGCTTTACGCGTTTAGGTGCAAACTCTTGGCCAGTGTAAATGGAACCCCACTTTCTGCCCTCTGAGTGTCATACCTTGCTTCCACTGTTTCTGGATTTTTTGGCGGTATGATGCATAACATCGATCCAAAGCCCGTAAGTAGCACTCGATGGAAAGCTTCCCATCCAGCAGTGGATACTCTGAGGCCAAATTTGGTTTGTAGAAGTCATACACGTTCTCCATATGGGTTCCCCTGAGCCCTGGAAAGCCACACAGAGGGTCTCAGAGACGACACGGTGCAGCCCACCTTAAGCACAAAGGCCGCGCGGTCCACGTCAGCGCTTCCTGGTCTTGATGTGCTCCCCACGCCCACGTCTAAGCCCACTCAGCATCACTCACATAGTCCAAAGCAGATGGACAGGTTGTTGGTGTTACCTAAACGAGATTTATATTTCCCTTTCCACACTATGTGGGTTGGACAAAACCTGGCATAGAAGCCAAAAGTCTCAGAGGACAGACTCTCGCTTTACACCCAATGATCTTCTTTCATCTTCAACTGCCGGTACCGCCCCTAAGGTTCCGCATCAGCATCTGCATCACTCAGTCCCGGCATCATTATTTCACTGCGCGAGGACGCAGAAGAAACCTCATGGATTCCCCTCTTCCCCTCCTCCCCACACTTTTCTCCTGAACTCAGCTTTGGGAGACGGGCCATAGCATCTTCAGATCCCCACCCAAGCCCTGAGGAGCGGGTCCACCCGCGTGGGATTGGGATCTATGGATCTGGTTGCCCCACGCACAGCCCCTTGGTGACGGTGGGCCACACACCTCGCTCTAGGGCCAGGGGGGCCTTGGGCCCAATCAACATCGCCACGGCGCCGGCCCCACCGGTGGGACGAGCATTGCCACTGGGGTAGACGGCGATGTCTCCGCAGACGACCATTGCGTAGCGACCTGAAAAGAAGGGCAAGAAAGGATTATCGCCGCCACCAAATCTGGAGGCGACTGAGTACCTACTGCGTGCCAGGCACAGTTTTGAGGGGCTGGGAATAGGCGAACAGAACCAGAGATCCCAGCCCCGTGGAGCTTATGTTCTAGCGCAACTGATGATGCATTTGAAAGGCAAGGTCAAAACTCAGTGTCCTGACGTTCTATCTGTAAAATGTCATTTACTCAGAATCCTGTTTCTGACTTCAGTGACAAATTTGTCAGTTGGCGCTTTTGGAGACAATTTAGGTTTATATTGATTATATCATAGCACTTTATCACCCTGAAATTTATCCAAATGTATATGTATACACACACATTGTGAAAACTTTAGAACTATAGAAAAGTATTTAGAAGCCACTTAGGAAAAGGCCAATACGTTTGATTACCTAAAAATCAAAACCTTCTAACAGAAAAAAAGTCAAAAGACAAAGGGGAGAAGTATTTACAACACTTGACAATCAACAAAAGCTATTTGCATTCATTTATAAAAGTCTCATTAAGCCGGGCTCAGTGGCTCAGCCTGTCATCCCGCGCCTTTGGGAGGCTGAGGTGAGTGGATTGCCTGAGCCCGCGGGTTCGAGACCCGCCTGGGCAGCGAGACCTCATCTCTATAATAAATCAAAAAATCGGCCGGGCGTGGTAGCGCATGCCTGTAACTCCGGCTACTTGGAAGGCTGAGGCGGAAGGATCCCTGGAGCCCAGCAGGTCGAGGCTGCGGGGGCCGGGAGCAGCCACTGCACTCCAGTCTGGGCGACCGAGTGAGACCCCAACTCAAAAAACAAAAAAAAGTCTCATTAAAAAGATAAGCTATATAGTAAAATTTCCAATAAACATCATAAAAAATATTCAAGTTGTCATAATGAAAGAAAGACAAAAACACTATGATTTTACTTATTAAATTGACAAAGGCTAGAAAGCTTAATAATATAGGAATGTAATTTAGTGCAACACTTTGGAGAACAATTTGACACATTTTATTAAACTTTTAAATCAACCTATCCTGTGGTTCCACTTCTGAGGATCCATTCTCTTTTTTTGAGTTGGAGTCTCACTCTGTCGCCCAGGCTGGGATGCAGTGGCACACTCACAGCCACTGCAGCCTCGACCTGCTGGACTCAGGTAATCTTTCCACCTCAGTCTTCCAAGGAGCTGGAACCACAGGCATGCACCACCATGCCCGGTTGATTTTTTTATTTATTGTAGAGACCAGGTCTTGCAATGTTGCTCAAGCTGGTCTCAAACCCCTGACCTCAGGCAATCCTCTCGCTTCCGCCTCCCAAAGTGCTGGGATTACAGGCTTGAACCACTGCGCCCAGCAAGGATTTATTCTTAAAACACTTTGTCACAAGTGTGCAAAACTAAAAGCACCATATCAAAAAACATTCTTTTTGACTGCAGAAAATACACAACAATCTATAGAGCCATCAATATGGGATTGATTAAATAAAATGTGGCATATCCATCAATAGAATATTGTGGTTTTGAAAAGAATAACGTAGACTTTGTATATACTGATATATAGAAATGACCACTCAGGATTGCCTGAGCCCCCGGGTTCATAAAATAAATAAAATAAAATAAAATACTATTAATGCTAAATTCTGGGAAGTGGCAATGGGGTGTCAAAAGGGGATATTTTCTTCACTTTACACTCTTTTGTGCATGGGTATATACATACTCTTTTCCAACTATAAATTTCAAGTATTTGTACTAAAAAATGACACATTAGCATGGTAATCCCTGGCCAATCTCAGCCAGCCCCACCCTTTCCTGCCACCACACCCTCCTCTCTTCTCTGGAGTGGTTCAGGACCCCCTGGCAAGCGCCTGGGCTGCTACCTCCACATGAGGTCCCCAGGTCAATGGTTGGCTAGGTCAGAGCAGAGATCTCATTCGCACTGGCCTCATTTGGTCTGGTGGTTGCTATCGCCTGCAGGATCTGTAGTCGGTGTTCAGGCTCAAGTTTCGGCATTTTTTTGGTTTGAAGTACAAACTGGAAATTCGCATTTCACTAGTTTGGCTTTTCATTTGTACTGTTTTGTTGTTGTTGTTTTGTTTTTAACCAAGCGCCATATTATTGTGGAATACCCAGCCACTCAGCAGAATCTACTCCTTTGAAATGAAATGCTTAAAGCTGACAGGGCAGAATAGGGTCTCTGATTTTTAATTAAAGGTTGGTGGAAGCTCCTTACCCTTCATTTCTGCTCTCCAAATAAATACTTGGTTGTGGTAATAATGGTAGGGATGGCTACAGAGGTAGTTATACAAGTAGTAAGTAGGAGAAACACTGTAAGAACAGATTTGATAACTAGAGACTGGAACAACCTATATCATTGGAACATGGTGGGGCCATGTATAACAGTTGAAAATCTAATCCTGAACTGTACCTCCCTTCTTTAAGAAAGAAAAAAAAAAGAAAAGAAAAACGCGGAATGACCTTCTGGAATTTCACTGTCTTGCTGCGTGAACAAAGACAAATTGTTAAACCTCTTTTGACCTCTTTTTTTTTTTTTTGAGTTGGAGTCCCACTCCGTCACCCAGACTGGAGTCCGGTGATCCTTCCGCCTCAGCCTTTCAGGTAGCTGGAACTACAGGCGCGTGCTACTATGCCCAGCTAATTTTTGATTTATTGTAGAGATGAGGTCTCGCCAAGTTGCCCAGGCGGGTCTCGAACCCGCGGGCTCAGGCAATCCACTCACCTCAGCCTCCCAAAGGCGTGGGATTACAGGCTGAGCCACCGAGCCTGGCTTGACCTCTTTTTTTAAAGCAAAGGATATTGGATTAGATGACCCCTAAGGACTCTGCATTAAGATTTTATGATATCGGCAGAGAAAGTTGGGAAAATGCTACTCACTCTATTTTGCAGATGTAGACCTTTGATAGATCCATTTTGCATTTGTTTGTTCATTGAATTATTAAAAAAGACTTTATTATTAATTTTACAATTACTGCTCATTATGGTTTCTAAGTTTTTTTTTTTTCAGTTTTGAGTCGGAGTCTCACTCTGTCGCCCAGACTGGAGTGCAGTGGCCGCTCCCGGCCACCACAGCCTCGACCCGCTGGGCTCCGGCGATCCTTCCGCCTCAGCCTTCCGAATGGCCGGAATTACAAGCGCGCGCTACCACGCCCGGTTGATTTTTTGATTTATTGTAGAGATGAAGTCTTGCTGCCGAGGCGGGTCTTGAACCCGCGGGCTCAGGCAATCCACTCACCTCAGCCTCCCAAAGGCACGGGATTACAGGCTGAGCCACCGGGCCCAGCTGTTTTCTAAGGTTTTTAATCCTAGTTTCAAACTCAGTAAAGATAAAGTGTCTTGACTGCCAAGGTACTGTTTTTGCACATTTCCATGGATTATTTTATTCAATTCTTTTACCAACCCTACAAGGTAGATAGGCAAAACAACAGCAACAACAAAAAGCCCTGAAGCTCAAAGAGGTTAAGGAATTTATCAGTGATTATTGACAGAGCTAGGAATGCAAAGTCTCATCTTGTACTGTTTCCCTTGGATGTTTTCTTGTCATGTCAACAGAAGTCATTTCTCTAATATAGCATTAGGGGAAGGTATAAGTAAGATACAAGGTAATGTTAATATGTTTAACAAAAAACAATATCCTAGGAGCCAGGCAAGGGAGAATGCAAAGTACTCTGTGTAACAGTTTATCCTGTGATTCTCTGGTCTATTTCTATCAAGAACCCTGAGACTCAAAGAAGTTGAGGAATTTGTCAACGATTATTGACAGAGCTAGAGTTGCAAACTCTCATCTTGCACTTAACAGCTAAACTTTGTATAAATGTAGATGTCTTTTAACATTACCAATCTCTCTCTGGGCAATTTAGAAGATGCTTAAGAGAAGCAGGTACGGTAAAATGGGAAATATATTAGATATGGTTTGATGTTTTGCCTCTGCCACTCAGTACGCATAAGATCTCAGGTCTTCCATGTTCTCATCAAAAAATCTGATGTAAGACCCACCTCCTAGGCTGTTGTAAGAACTCAGTGAATGACTGTGTCAACATGCTCCCTAAGTAACTGGAGAAAGCCATACAAGTCTAAGTGGTTATTTTCACTGTGGTTGTGAGCATGATAGCAGCAGCTGTGTGAATACGTTGTCCTTCCTTCAGTGGATGAAGCCACCTGGGGAACTGAAAAGCAAAACAGATAATATTCAGCCTCCACCTCCAGCCCCCTTTTTATATCAGGCCCCTGGCAGCACGTACCATCCCAGTAGCTGGACTCCATCCAGTTGGCTGCATTGAAGAGGCAGGCAGTGCCGCCGTAACAGGCATTGGTGGTGTCTACGCCCTCGATGTCTGTGTTGCCCGAATCTTGGAAGAGTTCCATGAGCACTGTTTTGACAGCCTTGGACTTGTCGATGATGGTCTCGGTACCCACTTCCAGCCTGCCCACAGACTCCCATGGGAGTTGTGTGCGTTCTATCAGCCTTTGCACCACCGTCAGGCACAGGGAGTTGATATCCTCCTGGACTGAGCAGAAGCCCATTTGAGTCTGACCCAAACCCACGGTATATTTCCCTGCTTCCACATTGTAAAACTTCTCCAGGTCAGTTTGGTCCACATACTGGGCTGGGAAGTAGACCTCTATGGCATGGATGCCAACATCCTCTGGCCAGGTATCTGTTTTGGTCAGGGGGACAGCAGAAACTGTAGAAAACCTGTGATGGAGATGACAATCAAAATCTTGCTAATGGTATGTAGTCAGTTTCCTCAAAAGATAGGACTAGAGCAATCATTTAATTCATTTTTAAAATATTTTTTGAATCATTGTTATCAGATGACAACAAATTTAGTATTGTCTATTCTGTTGAATAAACTCTTTTATCCTTATTAAGTATTCATTTTCATCTTTGTGATACTCATGCCATAAAGGCTACTTTTTCTGATGTAAATATAGCCACACTAGCTTTCTGCTTATTGTCTGCATTGCATTATCTCTTTCTGTCCTTCTTTACTTTCAAACTCTCAGAGTCTTTATAGTTAACAAGAGTCTTTCGTAATCAGTATATAGTTGAGTCTTTTTTTTTTTTTTTTTT